ATCCAGCCCTAAGCCCCATATAAGCATCGGAACTCTCACTTTCTGCGATCGCCCGATGCATCTGCGGTCAGGCCCGGGATTCTCTGCGACAGTCGGAAATTCGCATGTGGCCGTACAGGTGCTCCAGCAGCCAGCCGGACGGACCTGCCTTCATCGCAATCCAGCATGCGTCAGCGAAGTCCTTCGTTCATATCTTCACAGATGCTACTTGGGGAAGGAACCTCGGCACTGCGCAGCATTCGGATCGAAACGGAAGTCTCTGAGCAGGACGGCATCTGCAGCTTTCTTCGTAAGCACAACCAGGGCGACCAGCAGCCGCGCGGGGCGCGGGATGCGGTACCTGCCAGGGGTGTTTGGGATAGCTTGTTCTTGTGTATAGGCTTTCGCCGGTGTCCGGGATCAGCAGTTGCACGTGGTTGAAGCTTGCCGTGCTGCTAGCTGTTGCGCAAACATGCGCCCCAGCCATGCTGCAATTCTGAGAAGCATGCGAAGGCCGACTGCAACCTTACACTCGCTCCAGTGAGCGCATGCCTCAGCCTGCCGTCATGCAAACGCTAGCGCCGCTAGCTCGTAGCTCGGTGCAACACACCGTCTCCCGGGCCTGGTTGCCCCAGTCTGCGTGCCTCACAGCAAGAGCTACAACCCGTGGGCAGAGGAGGTGAAATTCAGAGGCGGAAGGCTTGCGAGAAGAGGAAGCTTCGGAAAAAATCCCGGCCTTTCTTTCCAGGTCAGGCTTCTTTGCACGAAGGTGTGTGTCTCACTCTCCCTCCCTCCCTCCCTCCCTCCCTCCCTCCCTTTAAGGCTCTAGGCTTTCAAGTTGCGGACATCTCCCTTTGCGCCGAGCTCCGGCATCCCGGGCTCCGGAAATCTCAAAGCTTGTTTTTCTCTCGACGAGAGAGGGTGTTGAAAGATGCTTTGAGGCGAAGTTCGAGGGCCTCAGGCAGGGTTGCATCTTCGACGATTCAAGGGGTCCAGGTGCGGTGGATGCCACAGGCGTTCCACAGAAGCACAGCTGCGTGGCTGCTTCGTGCTTGCCCCATCGCCGACAGGGAGCTGTGTCGAGCGCCCATTGTCGACAAACAGCTGGCCAAGTCGCTGCCACACTTGCAGGTTCCTGTCTGTGCCGCCACCATCCATGCCTCTTCGGAGATTCGATTCATCCCATCCGTCGCATGGCCTGGTCTGCTTTCGAGGTCATGGGAAATCAGTAGATCGAGCTAAGCAAGCTTGGATGTGGGCATCTCTGTGCATGTGCATGCGGTCAGACGAGCACTCGCTGTCGCTGATGCGGCGAACAGCTGAAACTCTCTCTCAAACGCAGCGGCGCTCTGCTTGCTCCGCCGATTGCGACGTGGAGTGCCTGTCGACGGTGTGGCCTGTGCGCTCAGCTGACCGCCGACGTGAGCAAGGTACGAGTTGTGGGTGCCCTCGATTTGAAGGCAGCGGGCAAGGCCGTACCCGGCAGCTTCCGTTGAGCGGACAAGGAGCTTTTCGGAGGCGCTTGGGGCCATGAGCGCAGGCCGTGAAACCTTCTTGACCCGATGTCACAGGCGGCGTGGCGGATGCCGCAGGCCATTGCCAAGGACCTCGGTTTCCCCCAACCAGAGTAAGGCTTGAACTCCGACTGCCAAGGACATCGAATGGGAGATCCGTTGTCCTGGTGCACACATGTGAGGATCTGCGAGCTTCGTGGATGGAGCGCCTGGACTCCGCGACATTGCCCCGTGCATGACAGCACCCTGCCCTGATCAGCAGCCTCCCACAAACTGTATTTACTCGGACGGAAGTTCCAGACCCCTCCCAAACCCTCAACTCTAAACCCAACACGGCATTGGCTTGAGCCTGATAGCTTAAGCTCTGAAACCTAGAGCATCCACATCTCCCCAGCTGGCACGGCTTCCCGTCTGTCGTGGCCTGGCGGCGGCGGAGGAGGTGCGTGCCCAGGGAGCTCCTGACTCTATGACTTTTCGGGAGGACTGAATGTGCGCCACAGACGCTTGCGGCTTGAGCTGAAAGCCTGCCTCCGAGGCCTTGAGCATCCCTGAAGCCCGCGCTAGTTTTCGAGAGTCCAGGTTCTTTGGGCTCGCACCCGTCCCTGCGGCGCAGCTGCCTCTTCGAGGGATGCGGGCTTCTGCCCCATTCTTGGATATAGCGACACGCAGCTGACAGGCAACTCGCGAACTGGCAGCGTGCCGAAACGCATGCCCGCGTCTGCCTAGTCTGCAGGCAGCTAGCTGGCGATGAACTTCGCACTACTATATAACAAC